CCCCCCCCCCCCATGCCGCCATTGGCCGCTACTGTATCATCTGTCTCGAAGGTAAGAACTCATAATTAAAACCACATTTTGTTAATATTAATAATATTTTTTAGAGGGCCGGAACAGATTTATTTTTTTTTCTGTTATATCTTATGGGAAAAAGTGACTCAAGATAGGGAGAACATATTATGCTCGTATCTCGAGGTTCGACTGTATATACATATATAACTTTGATTTACGAACTTTCGGAATTCGTTCCTGAACGCCTTTTATGAAGCAAAAGTGCAAAATTTTGAAATACGAACTTTCGGAATTCGTTCCTGAACACCTTTTATGAAGCAAGAGTTCGAAAACTGAAAAATTTTCCCCATAGTATCACCCCCAAGATGTAAAATGGATTCATCCGTCCCAATTCAAACTTTTTCAACAGTATTTTGTTTACAGGTTCATACCCAAAACCAATGAAAATAATTCGATCCACCGAAACAGATTCTCATGCTTAAGCAACTTCTATTGCTGTTCTCACTATTATTTTCCATGGTGATTTATGAAATTAAAATAAAATAGAAGAAATAGCACAGCGCAAGAAATAGTACAAAAATATTTTCAACTGCACAATCTTTATTCATTTTTTAAAAATGTTTTCATTTGATCTCATCCACATCCACATCGACAGTCTTACTGCTCTGCACCACCCTTCCATCCACGACTGTCTCCACAACAGTGATGACCTTTGTGACCACTGCAATAGGAAAAGAGCGAAAAGTGTAAGGTTATTGATGAATCTTAGCTATTAAGACTGTTGTTTGAGTGAAATGTTAGGGAAATTACCTTGTTTTGAGCTGTAGTAAAAAGAGAAAACAAATAAAAAAAGCATTAATTTTTTATACATTTTACCTGGCCATACTTAATGTACTGACTAAAGATTGCTGACTAAAAAAAAAGACATTTAGGCTCATCTTCACTTGTCTCACCTCTCATCCTCCCCGTCCAGCAACCTCCTGTACTCCGCAATCTCCAGCTCCAAACGGGTCTTGATGTCAAGCAGCATCTCGTACTCCTGCTTGTTGCTGTCAATGTTGGCGCGGAGCTGGGAGAGTTGGGCTTCAAGACTTATAACCATATCCTGGAGGTTTGCTAGCTGTGCCGAATAGCGGGCCTGAGCCTCTGCCAGTGTCCCCTCCAGAGATGCTTTCTGTTTTGGACGAATTTAAACATGTGATTACGTTACGCTATACTGTGGTCGCAAAACGTGACGTTTTTCACCAATATCTTTAAAATACATATGTACACTGTACCATGCTCAAATTTGATTGGAGTTCAATCTGCAGCCTCTGAAATGTGCTCTTCAGGTCTTTGATCTCGGTGCGCGTTGTTACCAAAATCTCTGTGCTTACCTTCACTTCGTGCTCGATATCAGTAATCTGTGGATGATGCCATTGACGCATTTACATACGTTAGTTTAGATGACAAAAAAAAAGAATCAAAGTAAGTGGAAAATACTGTAACAACTTACTTTTCTCTGATACCACGCCTCGAGTTCTTTTTGGTTTTTACTGATCATTTTCTCGTAGTGTTCTCTGATGCTTGATATGACTTGGTTCAGGTCTACCGATGGTGTGGCATCCACGGACACGTTGACCTGCGCACCCGCTTGACCTCTCAGCAGGGCTATCTCCTGTGGGTGTCAGACGGATAATACCTTTAACATGTTCTAAAAGAGTACATGGGATACCCTTACTGACCCTGCAGGAATTCTCTTACAGCAGGTCCTCACAGAGTTACGTTCCGAAGACCGTGTTATTAAACGATTTTTCTGTTAAACTAAACCCACATTGACCGACAAATTTGCCATTTCTGTTACTTTTTGTCCTTAAAGATTGGCAGAGACTGTCGAACGTGAGACGCCATAACTGTTAGCGATCACTTACATTTTTACCTCCCTCATATCCTGTAATTATTTTAAGTTTTATGTCTAGATCGATGGCTTTCCTTTGCTCCTTAATAGCAATTCTATATCAGACATGGGCAAACTAAGGCCCAGGGACCTGATGTGGCCCATTCAGCTTTTAAATCTGGCCGCCAAACTTTTCCAAATGATATAATTCATTTATATTATTGTTATACTTCAGCCTTTTCCCCTGCAATACCCACGTTTCCCCAATAGATGGTGCTAAAACGCCAAAAGCAATTTAGCCTTTAAGTATGACTTTTACATGTCCTTTATCTTTGTTCTCACGAACACTCCATCTATCTGTTCCTGACCCCCCAACCCACACACCCCCGCGTTCAATTTTAGGACCAATTGTGGCCCGCGAATCAAAAAGTTTGCCCACACCTGTTCTAAATTGTAAGTACTTTGTAAAGTACTTGAAAAATTGTGTAAAATACACAAGGCAAGTTTCAGTGATGCAGCTCGCAAGATTTTAAATCTATGAATAGACGCCCAACAAGTCAGGAAAGGAGAAGGCAACGCCGGCAAACACTTTGAGTGATTTACTGTAACTTCACTGAACACAGTGGGTAAATGAAAAAGGGAGAGTGAGAGGAAGTCCACAGAGATTAAGCAGATGCAGATTCGGGAGGGGAGGAGAGATGGGGGAGGACCTGTTTGCGCCTGCTTTAACGTGACAAATGTAGTGCTGTGGGATTTGGCCTGTTCATGTCCTTTCGTGTTTGCTATGTGGGCGTATGTCCTGTTTAAAGACGCATGAACAAGATGAGCGACGTTAAATTCCATTCTCTAAAAAGGAACCTGATAGAACGACAGCTTGTTTTGAATAGAATCACCACATGTCGCTCGCCACCGTCTTACCTCTTCATGGTTGCGCTTGAGCATGATGATCTCATTGTTCAGGCTCTCGTACTGACTCTCCAGATCCATTTTCACCAGGTTCATGTCATCCAGCACCTTCCTCAGTCCAGAAATGTCTGCCTCCACAGCCAACCTCATGGTTAGCTCATTTTCATACCTGGGATTAACGTAAAGATGGACATGATGGGATTTCAGTAGTTCCTCATTTGTTTACCCGAAATTTGAGGCACGACACACACACACACACATCAAATTTTAGCGAGTGCACTTACTTCATTTTGAAATCATCTGCTGCCAATTTTGCATTGTCAATATCCAGTAGAGTCCTAGCGTTAAGCTTGGAAGCAATACGGATCTACAGAAGGAACAGTGAACCCAAAGGGTACGTGCAAATATTTCATTATTTTTTTCCCCCCACAAACGTAAGCACCAAAATAAATCCAAGAACTGTACTAAAAAAAAATCCAAACTAAAAAGATGAGAAGAGGCCATGTCCACTCTTTACCTTGTCTTTCAGGTCATCAATAATAGCAAAGTATTTGGTGTAGTCATGCGCAACGATGGTTCTGCTCTGGTACCATTCTCTGATCTGTTTCTCAAGGTTGCTGTTCTCCTTCTCCAGGGTGCGGACCTTTTCCAAATAGACGGCCAGGCGGTCATTCAGGTTCTGCATGGTGGCTTTCTCGTTGGCCCCAACATGGAGGTCCAAGCCATCGGCCAGGCTAAAACCCCCAGCAGAACCAAAGGTCAGACCTTGGCTAGAAGAGATGCGGGTGCCATGGCCACCTGCTCCTCCGTAAACACTCATGGTCCTGTAGCTGAAGGGTCGGGTACTCATGTTGAATGTGGAATGGAACTGCAGATAGGTCACTGACTTGCATCTCGCCACTTATATAGCTGTCAAACACGGTAAAATGGGAAGGGCTAAAAAAAAAAAAAAACATTTAGAAGAAAGAATGTGTTTACTAAATAACCCCCCACTTGTCTTTCCAATCACCCTATCACCTATCAAGTGTGACAAGTGATAGGTAGTGTAACATTTCCTCTTTAAAGGTCAAACTCGTGGTTCCACATTTTTTTAAATAAAGGGCATTCCTTGGATTCTTTCGTCTTTGTTTAACCTTCCCAGCAGGTTTGTATGTGAAGCTAACATTTTTCCTAGCTGTCATCAAACAAGCTTTGAAAACAAAAACACACACACATATGGGTACAATTAAATGTGCATTCATATACGAAGAAAATGCACACAAGAGTGTGAAAAATGACAGTTATCGGTGACTATTTCACCCTGGTGAAACTAAGGGGCCCATAGGTTAAACTTAAGACTTTCACAGGTTCTCAGTCAGCCAGGTCACTTTATCCAAAAATAGTTCCATCCAGGGCGACTAAACAAGACGTTTCACCGCTCATCCAAGAGTCTTCTTCAGTTCTGACTGACTACTTGAAAGTTCTGGTATTTATGCAGCCTGAAAGAGGCTGCATAGGTCTTTGCAGAAAACAATACACTAATAGGAGGGGGGGTGGACCACACCCTATTCTATCGGGGAGTGGAATGTATAGTCACTAGGTTAGAGGTGTGAAAGGTGAGTGATACCATACCTATGGAAAAATAAACACTTTTGGCTGGGTGTCCTTTAGAATGAAACTGTGGTCTCTTTGTCAGGGGAGGGGCTTGAATTTTTTTGGGTACGACGTTATAGATGGATAAAAAGGGGTCATGTTACATATTTCCTTCAGATCAGTGGTTCTTAATTATTTTCTGTCATGCCCCCCCCCCCCTTGGGGACAGAAATGTTTACATGCCCTTCCACCCAAACCCCTGAAAATTGAAATACTACTGACATCCTGATAGGATTCGAACTTGCCCAGGAGGTGAACCCTGGGGTTCAACACCAATGACAGAGACATTGCCACTGGGCCAAAGCGCCACTCATACAGTTCTTATTAGTGGTTATTAATAAATGCATGCACAAAGGCAGACGGGCAAAAAGGGCATGTGGACATTCTGAATTGACATTAGATATTTTGGCAAAGCAATGTATTTGCCAACCGTTTAGAGTAGACTTTGTCCTTTACTGTTGACTGCTGGGACTGACTCCAGTACACACCCTTGATGGATCTTTTTTTTTCACCTATATTTGTTCACCTCTACCTTGTTTATTTTACACTTAGAACTGGATTATCTTCTGTATTTGTTGCATACATCCATAAAAGACGTAAAACGCGAGTCAACTTTTTTGTTGTTAAACGAACAGCAAAATGTACCCGGCAAAAACAGACTGAACTTCTGCTACTCTTGTGTCACGTAAGAGTTTTAATGACTGCTCTTTGTTCAAAAACTACTTTGCCGTTTTCTCACGCCAGCGAAACACCATCACTCAAGGAGGATTCCAGTTAACAACCAACACAGGATTTTCTGGATGCCTGTCTCTTGCATCACTTCACGAATGGTTTAAGTATAGATTATCACTGAATGGATTTTTAAAATTTTTTTTTAAAGGTTTGTTGCCTAAAAATCAGAGATTCCTAAAAAATATATTTTATACTGTTATATGCTGTCATAAAAAAAATCATAGATTTTTTTTTCTTTTTCTTTTATTCCATTCTTATATATAGATCTCAATTGGAAAATTAGTTTAAATAGGAAAATAATGTACTTTCTACTAAAACAGTAGAATGATTCGGGGGATAAGAAGAAAGGGGAAAATGTATATGTGAGTTGAGTTTGGGACAAGTCAATGAAGAGTTTATTTTACTTTGTACCAGAGGTGTGGACTCGAGTCTCATGACTTGGACTCGAGTCAGACTCGAGTCATCAATTTGATGACTTTAGACTCGACTTGACAAAATGTAAAGAGACTTGCAACTCGACTTGGACTTTAACATCAATGACTCGTGACTTCACTTGGACT